TCTGGGTAGGACTAATTGCTGTGCAAATTTGATTGAGGCCTGTGAGGACAGGATTGCCTTTAATGGTTGCAGCATAGGGGCCATTTAACATGTTTCAGGAAAAGCCCAATACCCAAGTCACCACACTGGCGGCGATTGCATCACCAACCATTAGGAACACCACTCAATGGTTCAGAAAGAATACACCAGGGCTTTGCTTAAATAATTATTTTGAAACTGGGAGGTTTATGGAGAGTTCAGGGTTCAGATTTAGAAATGTCAGAAATAGAGTTTTTATTTGTTTCCATCGCACGTAATGAATTGCCCTTTAAATAATGAAGCAAGGAAAATGCCAAGTGTTACATACTCCGGTGGATTGCCAAATGTTGAATCAGTCCCCCCACCCCCCACCCTACCCCTCCACTCTCTCCTCTGGGACTGAGACTTCAAAGCCACACACATTAGAGAACCAGTGCATTTCAAATTTCCAAGGAGCTACTGAGAGATACATCCCTTCCTTAAGTCTACGGTCTGAACTTGTCCAACTTCTTGGCTCTCCCTTGTCATTGGGGCTCTGCAATGGCTTCTTAGTTAAGGTTTGTATTGCTGTGAAAAAACACCACAACCAAAAGCAACTTGGGGAGGAAAGGGTTTGTTTTAATTTGCAGCTTGTGGTTTCTCATCTAGAGAAGTCAGAGCACTAACTCAAGGCAGGAACTGAAGCCGAGGCCATGGAGGAGTGCTGCTTACTGGCTTGCTCCTCATGATTTGCTCAGCCTTATACCATCCAGGACCAAGAGCCCAGGGGTGGTACCAGCCACAGTGAACTGGGTCCTCCCACATCAGTCATCAATCAAGAAAACGCACCACAGGCTTTGCCCACAGTCCAATCTGGTGGGGGCATTTTATCAACTCATGTTCCCTCTTCCAAAAATGACTCTAGGCTGTGTCAAATTGACATAAAAATAGCTAGCACAAATGGCATTGATGGGAAAGGGGCAAGGAGGGAAAGCCCTTAGAACAGCTCACTTGGTGTCTTAGTCACTTTTCTGTTGCTGTGAAGAGAAACTATGACCGAGGCAACTTATAAAACAAAGCATTTAATTGGGAGCTTGTTTATATCTTCAGAGGGTGAACCCATGACCATGATGGCAGTAGGCAGGCAGACATGGCACTGGAGCAGTAGCTTGGAACATACATCTGCTCCATGAGGAGGCAGAGAGAACAAGAGAGTGAGAGACCAGGACATTGGGGGTGGGGGTGTGATATGGGCTTTTGAAACCTCAAAGCCCACCCCCATTGACACACCTCCTCCAACAAGACCACACCTCCTAATCCTTACCAAATCAGTTTCACCATAACTCCATGAGGGTCATTCTCATCCAAATCACTACACTTGGATTCTACTTATTTGTATGGGATATAACTATTGCTCCTGTGACAGAAAGTGCACATACATATGTTCAACTTCGTAGGAATGAGAGATCCTCCTTCTGCAGGCTGGTTCCCTGGCTCATCACTGGTGAATATTACTCACAGCCTAAAGAACTGGAGGTCTTAACAAGTGGAGAACAGCCTGCTCTAAATGGAGCTGCCTTGTGTTTTGTCTTCTGAAACCAATAGCTTGCTTTTCTACTTCTGAAGTGTTGGGATGCCCTCAGTAGATGTTGTTAGCATGCTCTTAAGACTTCCCTGTTCCTAGAGCTCTATGTCAGAACAAGTCTCTATTCTTTAAAAGTCACCCAGCCTCAGGCGCTCTGCGGCAGTAACAGAAAACGAACCGCAACGGTGTTAAATCCCTGTCAGCACTCTCTGACACAGGAGTTAGTCTTCAGGAGCTGCCCTGTTGCCCGAGATTGGTTTCTGACCTCACCGCTTGCTCTTCAGTCCTGCTCACGCAGCTGTCACGACGTTGTCACGTCCAGCAAATCTCAGATCTTAAATGTACTGATTAGCTGTCCATCTTCACCTGCTTCTGTCACTGCGCCCCGACTTCTGCAATGGCACCACCTGTTCCCCAGCACTCCTTGGGTGATATACCCCTAGACCACCCCCCTTAATCCTTTATCCCACATATTGTCTCCATCATGAATAGCCTTTAAAAATTCTATTCTCTCTACTGCGTCGTTAGTGCTGACACAGAAATGGGCTCTGGTTGGAAGGAACACAGCAAGTAACCTACTGTCCCTCGTACCCTGTATTCCTGCCTTGGTTCCTCCCTGTTTCCCCTGTCCATCAAGGCCAGAAAAATCTTGAATCAATTTCTGATTCATGATTTTGTCTTGAGAGTCTTGACCTTTAAGTTGGTCATGTCTAACTTGTTATGATGCAAAGTCCTTTACGCTTTAGCTCCCCAAATTTGTGTCACCTTAATTCTTCTAAACAATCCCTTTGATCTGTTGAAATTAACAGATGAGTCACTGCCTTTCCTTTTGCTGTCTAAGAGCCCCAGGACAATCGCCTTTGCTGGGACCTGGAGAGATGCCCTGAAGTTGTGGCTTGCAAATGCAGATAGTGTATGTACAACTAGGTGCAAAGCTCCCCTCTGACCCCAAGCAAGTCCTTTAGCTGTCTACTGTCTTCATTTTCTTCTCTGTAAAGTGAGGAGTTGACTTGAAGTTTAAGTAAGGAAATGGATGTAAGGTTGGAGGCAAAGAGATCTTCCACGAGTAATAGCTATCATTTTAAAAATTATCATGGTGTGGTTTGGTGTGTTTGCTTGTGTACCACGGTGCATATGTAGGGGTCAGATGACAATCTTTAGAATGAGTTCTTACTTTCCACCTTGTTTGAGACAGGGTCTCTTGATCTTTCCTGTGTACCCCAGGCTAGCTGGCCTGAAGGCTTCCAGAAACTCCCCTGCCTCCACCCATCTCATTGTAGGACGGCCGTAATTACAAATGCATGTTGCCATGTCTGGCTTTACTTAGGTCCTAGCAATCTAAATTTATTTATGCTTGTGTGGCAAGTGCTTTTACTCACTGAGCTATTGTTATGAGTGTGCTATGCCAGAAACATACAGGAAGATATTTGTGTCTTTCCACAATGTCAGAATTTATTGAATAACAATAAGTTCACAAGGCTGAGTGGTTTAAATGACAGGAATTCGTTATACAATATGCCCACCTTGGTAGCTCAGCAGAGGCAAATGCAAGTCCCTTATTCCCGTCTTAACCACTAACTCTTATATCATACAGCACACAGTAACTACATCTATGTATCCCTCTCTCTATTTCTCTCCATATGGATTACAGAATGAATACCCAGAAGAGGTTACAACAGCATTCAAAAGGTTTCAGAAGTGGGCAGAGAAAGAGTCTGTACAGATAAGATAACAACTAGATCAGTGTTGGGGCAGAGCTGCTGGTGGTGGGCGTCAAGTCAGAGAGTTGGGCTGCAGAACTAATCCAGCTGTGAGGCTGAAAGGTTGAACTGGATCCTGAACAGAAAGTGGGTCAGAAACAGGAAAGAGCAGGCAGACTGGTAGATGGGCAGGCAATTGAGTGGGCTGAGTCAACAGCAGGGGACTGAGTCCAGTCAAGGACTCCTTGGTACTTGACACACACACCATTATCAGATGATAGGTTGGTTTTGTGCCATGCCATCTCAGTCTAAGGTGTTCATAACTTTATGGGTTCCAGGCAAGAGAGTTATTCCCTTTTCAGGGTCTGGTGTATCTGCTGTGCTTTTGGGCCTGGTTTTTCTGATGGCATTTTAATGCTCTCATAAGTTTCATTTCTCCCCAGTGAAGTCACAGAGTGCCTTCCATTCTATTCCCAGGCTTCAGTCATCCTTCTCCCTCAAAATGCAGTCAGACACTGCCTATGAAATGGAATCTCCCAGGGCAACGGTCAGCCCGAAGTCTGTTTCATCACACAATATGAAGTAACTTAGAGCAAGGCATTGCCTGATCCCAACAGCCATCTCCTCAGCCTGCTGTTCTTAATACTTTTTTTATTTGCCTAGTGCGCTCTATGCTTTTCTGCTTCTGTGCCGTTTGTTGTGGTCAAAATTCTCACAGTACAGGCTTCTCATCACCCCAGAGGATCCTCCTCCCTAGCTCCCCTAGGTGAGTTTTTCTAAATAAGTGTGATACTTAGAATGGGTACCACGCAAATCAGATCATCCTGTCTGTCATACTCCACTTGCTTCAGGCACTGGTGTCCATGGATGCAACCAGTTCAGGTCTATCCTGGGGAACATCAAGCCCAGGATGAGGAAGAAGGGGACCTTGTGAGTTCTCAGTGAATGAAGAGTCGAGCTGGACATCAGGGAGATTGTCAGGCATCTGCTTTCTTCCTTTCTTTCCCCATTCCTTCCTGGACAAAACAAGTAGTGAATTTAATTGGTGCCATCAACAAAAACAATGGAAGGATGCTATCAAAAAAGAATTTCCACTATGAATTAAAAATACATTTCCTATGGATAGAGTTTCCCTGTCCTTGCATGTGGGAGGGTCCCACTAATTAGATTTTAAAAAAAAAAGTTGTTTATTAGGATTCAACTTACATGCAATCATACACACAGACCCTAAGTGTTCAGTTTGATAAGTCCAGTAGTTACACGTGCGCATGAAACTGCTTCCCCAAACAAGATATTGTTTTATTACCCCTCACACTGTCCATGAACTTCTTTCCAGTCACAATTCCACACTATTCGGCTATGGCTCTGCACATGAGGAACCACATACTCTGGGCCCAGAAGACCGTAAAAGAGATGAACGATTCCTATCATGTGGTGAGACAGGGATTGGAGTGAGATTCTCAAGATGTACTTCCCAGTCACCTACTCCCTCCATCTAGGTCCCATTTTCTAAAGGTTCCACAGCCTTCCAAAATGGCACCATAAGCTGGGGCCAAGGGTTCAAGTAGCGACCCCCTTTTACACCCCACTGTCGCCAAAGGTCTCACAGTTGCCGGGCTCATGAGTGTTCTGCGCAAATGCACTGTGGTGTTTGCACAATGGCAGAATCACCTTGTGACCCATCTTCGGAGTATCCCCCTCCTTAAGTGACACGGGACTGTATTTACTTTCCCATCAATGGTGACCCTGTTTCTACTGCCTGGGAAGCAGCTTCTGTTATAATGTCTGTCATGACAGGATAGTTTTGTCTGCTCCTTACTTCATATGGCCCGAAGCATACAGTTGGCGCTCTTTTATATCTGTGTTCTGGTGTTCACCTGGTGTTTTGAGGACTCATCCTTGTGGGGTGCAGGTTTTAGTGCTTTGTTCTTTTTTTTTCCTTTGGCTAAATAGTACTCTATTATGTGAATATGCCACACTCTGCCCATCCGTTTACCTGGTATGTGAGACAAGTTATTTCTAGATTTCATGAATAAGGCTGCTATAAATACATTTGTGACAGCTTTTTCTGCTTTCATTCCTCTTGACTAAGCAGACTTGCTGAGTCACAGAGATGTCGAAGCAACAGAGCATCTGCCAGTAGGGCCTCGTGTTTCCATTACTTCTGTCTGGCCGAATGGAATCACCGCACCGGACATTCTGCCTGAGTCTTCATTTTCTGTGCATCCTTTTCTTTCTAAACTCAACTCTGAATCCTCATGCCGCCAGCTATCAGTCTCTTTTTATTAAATATTTAAGGATCTAGGTGAGTAACACACTTGAAACTGTCTCTTACAGGGCAACTTTTTATTTGCTTATGGGGTGAAATTCAAAAGGTGTGGAGGTGCTGCAGGGATCTGGGTATGTTTTTGACATCCGTATGTCCCAAAGACAGATCAACAGTGCTCATTTTACAGATGGAGAAGTTGAGATAGAGGGTGGTAGCAATGAGTTCTTTATAGAATAGAGCTATCCAAACGCCGCCATCTTGGTCTGCACCATTTAGGCTGGGGTGTTCACTATGGAAGAGATGAAACGTCACTTGGCTCAGCAGGCCCCCAGGTCCCAGGTATGTATGCCCATTGTCACTTTTCTGTGTCCTCTCATTGCCCACCTCGTGCACTACAGGACCAGCACCTTCTTCTCAGGGCCACTTTGATGCTACCATTTAGCCACCCTATGGTGATCTATTCCAGGTGCTGGGTCCTTGGTTGGAATATACCGCACACGGACTTCGGAGAACCACTGCCTTGCTTTCACTGGTTTTATTTCACTTTCTTACAGTCAGCAGAACCTGGTCCTTCCCAGAGTTAGATGAGAAAGCCCATGGGAAGGTCGCCAAATGGTTGGGAGAGGAAGATGGAAAATTCACAGGTGAGACAGAGACCAGCATCAGGCCACTGGAGGAGAAGAGGCACATCTGAATTGAAATACCATTTGTGGTGGAATAGGATGCTGAGAACCACTGCCATTAAACAGGAATTATTGCTCTTTGAAATTATTCATGGTCAGAAAGATGTTTTTTTTCAAATTGGCTAAATTCCCCTGAGTCTTCAAAGTAGTTACCTCCCTATGGTAGAGAGATGCTTGTGTTTGATTCTCTTTCTGTATGCTATATGTATTTTAGATTTTTTCTAAAATTACCACATGATACTTTTAAAAATCAAGCATTTTTTTCTTAAAGTTTGAGATAATATAGTTGTAAGAAGTGATATGGAGTCATCCCACATACTATTAGTCTGCTTTCCCCCAACACAAACACCTTATAAAATGACAGCACAATGTCACCACAGGGGGATTGACATTGACACAGTCAACACGCCCCGTGAGACTCTCAAGTTGCTCTTTTTAGTCACAGTCGCCATGTCCAGCTAGACTTCTCTTCAGTCCTGGAGACTGTGAGTCCGTTCTTCATTTCTGGCACTGATCATTTCGTGCATGTTACATACATAGCATCATGCAGCATGTAAGTCTCAGCGTCTTCCATGGTCATTCCTTGTTATTGCCAAATACTATTCCATAGTACAGACATCGCACAGATTATTTAACCCTGGGTTCGTTTTCAGTTTCCTGCATTTGTATGAAATGCTGCTGTAAACGTGTGTACACGTTTTGATGAGAATAGTAAATTTTCCTCTCTCTGGAAGAGATGCTTAGAAGTGCAGTTTCTGGGTCGTATAATAGCTGCTCCTTTATATTGTTAATCAGCTACCACACTTTCTCCGCGGTGGCTGAACTACTTTATATTCCTACCGTCAAGGTATGAGCGGTGTCGCCTCTCCCTGTCACAGCAGCATTTGGCAAGGTGCACAGCGCCCCCTGATTATGGCTTCCCTGTGCATTTCCCCCATGGCTCACGTCTTTTTCATGTGCTTATTCGCCATCTGCAGATTCCCTTTGATGAAATGTTTCTTCTCACTGCTTGTATGCTTTCTAATTGGAGTGCCTGTGTTTCCCTCTTGAGGTTTGAGAGTTCCTAGTCTGTACAGATCCTAACCCCTCGTGAGTGTGCCTTCCAAATATTCTCTCCTGCTCTGCCATTTGGTGTCCTGTTCACATGTCAGGCTCCTTCTTTTCCTCACAAGGTAGAAGTTTACCATTTTGACAGAGTCCAGTTTATGGATTGTGCTTTTGATGTCAAGTTTAGGATCTGTTTCTGAGCCTTAGGTTCTGAAGATTTTTCTCCCTTTGGAAAAAAAAATTGCCCTCCTCTTCTCCCCTCCTCTCCCCTTTCTCCCCTCTTCTCTCCCCTCCTCTCCATTCCCCTCCCCTCCTCTCCCCTCCTCTCCACTTCTCTCCTCTCCTCTCCCCTTCCTTCCTCTCTCCTCTACCTCCCCTCTCTTCTCCTTTCCTCCTTCTTCCCTCCTGTCTCCCTCCCTCCTCACTCCCAGGCCCAAGGACTAACTTTGTGTCCTGCACGCCAAGCATGCAGTCTACCACTAAACCACACCTCAACCTTCTAGTTTTACTTTTAATATTTCAGTTTGGGATCTACTTGGACTTAATGTACATCACCTTGGTTAAAAGAGTAAAACTTAAGTTGACTTCCTCCTTTTTTTATATGAATTACATTAGGTTATTTGAATGTTATTATAAACTCCTGTTTTTATTGAATTGTCATTTTTTTAGATTTATTTTGTTTTTAATTGTGTGTATGTACATGTGCATCCAAATGTATGCATTTCCATGTCAGCATACATTTTAGAAGAGTTCTATTTATAAATGCAAAGGATCGTTTGAGGATTGTGATGGATGCTATATCAAATTTGCAAATATATTTGGGAAGAAGTGGCATCCTTACCACGTTGGGTCTTTCATTTTGTGAAGACAGTCTGTGCCTATTTATTTAGATTTTCTTGGTTTCTCCCACCGTTATTTTATAGTTGGCTGCATACAAGATCTATATCTGTATTAATAGATTCTTAGAGTAACCATAAGTGACAGTGGACTTACAACTCTTGTGCTCACATGTATATTGCTTGCGTGTAGAAATACAAAAATGTTCACATATATTTACACATATAAATGCTAAAAATAAGAAACTATTTGTTGTTTATCTTGTATCCTGGAATTTTGCTAAACACACTTATTACTTAGAGGATGATTTTTTGGGAGATGAGTTTCTTATAGAAGAAAGTAGTTGGGTGATCATATTTTTAGAGCTCACACTGTCAGTATCTGGCTTTAAGTTGATATAGTTAGAGGACTTAGACACTTTGAAATAACTTTTGACACTTTAGGGATAACTTCTACTTTGGGAAGGTATTATCTTGTGAGGTTTTCTTCTTTCTTTTCTATGTTCTCTGTTTTCTAGTTCCCCCATTTATTGTCTGTGAATTACATTAGGCTATTTGAATGTTGTTATAAACTCCTGTTTTTATTCAATTGTAATTTTTAGATTTATTTTGTATATTGTGTGTATGTATATGTGCACATGCACCTGTAGGTGCTTGAGGAGGCCAGAAGAAGGCATGAGACACCCTGCAGGGAGTTACAGGCTACTGTGCCCCGCCATGTGGGTGTGGGGAACTGCACTCCGGCCCTCTGCAAGAACAACAAGTGGTTTTTGTTGTTGTTGTTGTTGTTGTTGTTTTTTCAAGACAGGGTTTCTCCGTGTAGCTTTGTGCCTTTTTCCTGGAACTCACTTGGTAGCCCAGGCTGGCCTCGAACTCACAGAGATCCACCTGGCTCTGCCTCCCGAGTGCTAGGATTAAAGGCATGAGCCACCACCGCCCGGCTCAACAAGTGCTCTTAATGGTTGAGCATCTCTCCATCCTTTGATCGCATCTTCTTTACGCAGCGTCTTTTTGTGCTTGTTGCTGTCATGGTAGTTTTATGCCTAACATACCACGGTGTACTGTCGATGTGACCACACCACGAGTTCACAGGAAGTATAAAATCCCACCTCCCTTTACTCTCCCTTGTCCATCAATTGTCCTAAGCACTCTGGCACAGGCAACTGGAGCTGCACAGACAGGACTGCCTCTCTTGTTTTACCATCAAAGACAGTTTAGGAAACGAAGTACAGTCTCCTTTACTTACTGGACAAGAGTGCTTTCGTTCATTGTACTTTCTGTTTTTTCTTGATGGCTCAAGAGTTACTTCCACCTTCCCCTTCTAAAAACTTCACTTTCTATTTTTTTAAAAGCTATTATTTTAAGGTGGATCTACCGGCAAGAAATAGGCTTAGTTTTTTTCTTGTGTTAACACATCAATTCTTCTTTATCCGTGAAGGATATCTTCCCTGGGTATAGAGTTTAGATTTGACAGTCGTGTTCTTTCAGCCCTTGAAAGATGTGTCACTTCCTTCCGTGCTCAAGTTCTTGAACGAAACTTGCTGCCATTCAACTGGTTTCCCCAGATTTCTGTGCTGTTATATCCGTCCGCCATTACTTTCAGAGGTTTTACTGTGTCTCTGTTTGGGAAAGCCTGACTGTGCTGTGCTCAAGTGTGGATCTCTTCAGCTGGGTCTTATTTGATTTCTCTCGGCTTCTTGAATCTGTGTAATTTGTTGTCAAAGTTGGGAAGTTTCAGCCCATTATTTATTTGAGGACAAATTAAACCCCACCCAAGCTCTCCTCTCCCCCTGGAACTCTGATGACATCAATATTATGTTTTTGGTTTTGTATTTTTTTTTTAAGCTCACAAGTCCCAAAAGCTATTTGTGTTTCTTTTGATCTATTTTTCTCTCTATTCAGATTGAATAATTTCTATTGTTCCAATTTTCCAATTCGGCGATTGTGTTTTGTATTCTGTCCTTGAATTTATCCACTAAGACTTTGCTTTTAATTATTTTCTTAATTTTTTAACAATAAATGTTTATTGTGGCAAATGATACAGGCCATAAATCTTGACCACAGTCATCATGTTCAAGTTTAATGGCATCCCATCTGTATTGATGTGCATCCATCCTCACCATCCATCTCCACAACTCGGGGAAATTAAACCCTTGCACTCTTCAGATGTGAACTGTTCTCTATGTTCCTCCGACTTCTTCAGGCCACCACCTATTTTCCATCTCGCTGACTGCTGTAGACATTTCTCATTTGCAGGATTTCACAGTACTTAGCTTATTTGTTAGGGGTTTATTTCACTTAGCGGATCGTCAGTGTTCATCTATATTGTAGCGTGTATTAGTTGGCATATTGTCCTTATAATAGAATACCTGACATAATTGACGAGTAAAGAGAGAAGGTTTGGTTTGGTTCATGGTTGCGGAAGTTCTAGTCCATTTGTTTGAGGCATCTGGATGGTAATGACAGGAAGTATATGGCAGAGCAAAGCATTTAGCTAATGGCCAGGAAGGTGAAAACAAAGGAGGTATGGGTCTGGCATCTCATAGTTTCCTTCTAGGGCTGGCTTTTTACATTTTCCATCGCTTTCCCTGGTAGGCTGGTAGGCATGGCTAAACGGTCAAGGTTCTGACTTTGCTTTTCTACTATCATCTGGTGAGAGTACTGGGGTGCCTCATGATAGCCTGGCATGAACAGAAATCGAGGGGACTGGGGATGTAGGTCAGTGAAAGGACACTGCCTACCATGCCTGGGGCTGTGAGCATGGTCAGAGAGAGGAAGGGGGGGGGGGGGAGAGGGAGAGAGAGAGAGGGAAAGGGAGAGAGAGAGAGAGTTCTAGTTTATCCCTAGCCTTCACTGGTTCACTGGCATGGATAGATAGTGCCACAGTATTGCTTGTGTCTTTTGGTGGCACAGAGTTGTTACCATATAAAAGCTGAATGTCCTGCCAGGCTGCTACTCCTCTTCCAATCCTTTGGATGTTTGAGAACCAGCTTCTATTAGTCTATTTTCATTCTAGGCCCTTTGGAATTTCCAGGTTGCTGTTTTCTCCAACTCCAAATCTGGGACTTAAGAGGCACAAAAGGAACTGGAGGGAAGTCAGTGAACTTAAGTCCGTGCTGGTCTGTGAGTCTCTCCAGCCAGTTAGTCTTGTTCACTCCGCCTGTGTCTGCTCAGCCTCCAGAGCCTTTAGCTGCCCCCAGTGGGAAGAGGGAAGGCAGTGCCCATGTTGCATTTGTGGAAGCAGAAGCGCACCCCTGCATTGCAACTGAAGAAAACAAAACAGGTCTGATATTACAGTCAGAGGCGTATGAGTCGATAAAGGCACACACTTGTTTAGTTTAATCCAGGGGCAATAAGATGGGTAACCAGGATAGTAGCACATCATGGCTAGAAGTGATACCTATTCTGTGTTGAGTACATACTGTGAGGTTAGGAGTGTCTTCAATTTGTATCCATCCTCACACACTGAGTATCAGTCCCACAATTATTCAGTGTGAGACAAATTGTCCAAAATGTGTGTGATGGCATATGCTTGTAACCTCAACATTAGGGAGCCTGATGCAGGAAGATTGCAATTTGAAGTCCAAACCTAGGCTACTTAGAGACCAGTCCAAGCTACAGAGAGACACTGTATCAAAAAAAGGGGTGGTGGCGATGGGGAGCCAGCTCAGTGGATAAAGTACTTGTTGTGCAAGCATGAGGACCTGGGTTTGAATCCCTGGCAGCTCTGTGAGCTGGGAACTGTGGTGTGCATTTTGTAACCCTAGCAATAATGGGCGTGTGTGTGTGCGTGTGTGTGTGCGTGCGTGCGTGCGTGTGTGTGTGTGTGTGTGTGTGTGTGTGTGTGTGTGTGTGTGTGTGTTGGGGGTGGTGAAGACAGGTAGATTCTGGGGACATCTTAGCCAGCTAGCTTAACAGAAATGCCTAATTTTAGATTTAGTGAGAAACCCTGTGTGAAAAAAGTGTGCTAGAGGAAGACACACCTGCAAGAACATCTACACACAGATATACACATAGCTACCTATAAGAGAGAGAGAGAGAAAAGAGAGAGAGAGAGAGAGAGAGAGAGAGAGAGAGAGAGAGAGAGAGAGAGAGAGAGAGAGAGAAATCTCCAAGCTACACCACATTGAATAAGATAGTAAGGATTCCATGCCCATGCAACTTAACACGGGTCACAGATTCTGTGCTTCCAACCTCTGTGGAAAGCGCCTTCATGAAATTCATTTTAGAAGAAGAGAGACTGGTAGTATTTAGGGACACCCCGTGGAGAACAGGAAATGTCCTCTGTGAGCTAGCGTGCAAGCGAGCACACTCCATCATCTTTGCTTCTGCAGAACCCGCTCAGGGGCTTCTGGGAGGGAGTACGTTTTCTTTAGACTCCTAATGACATCTCTCCAGAGCTTTTATTTTATATTACTTCCTTCAAACAACCTCCTGGTGTAGGTGGAAACCAGACTTCTTACAGCAGACAGGGACTCTGCAGTCTCGAGAGTCAGAGAGATTGTCCTGAGCCCATATGGCCACTGAGGTTGGAAGAGGCCTGGGAAGAAGGTCTTCCAGAGGCAGGAGCCACCATGCTTCCCCCTATCTCCCAGCACTACCTAGGGCTTGGACTCTGCAGGATGGCTTTGTTCTTAACAAATGGAATTCTGCTTTAGCTCCGAGCCTGCTGAAGTGAGACCTAGGCCTCCCCTCTGACAGCCTCCTGGCTTGTCCAACTCTGCAGACTCCATCTGATGGAAACCTTATGTGGAACAACGAAAAAAAAAATTAACCTGAAAACCAGGCCCATCTCAGTATCTCCACCCGCTGGATAAACATCTCCAAGACAGACGCACAGGGAGGCCAAACTCTCTTGGCCAAGTTTTTAACTTAAAGTTTGGAAGTGGCTTGCGTTTTCCACAGAGCAGAAAAAGCTTTTCATTCCTGCCACAGTGAATGACTCCTTATGGGGTGGTAATTTACTTTTAACCTCTCTCTCAGGAACCCATGATTTTGCCTGTTTGCTTGAATGAAGTTATTAGTTAAAAGAAAAGGGCCACTTGAAGTTTTCTTGGTCCCCACCTTTCTTTCTTCCCTCTGGAAAGCCTATTATGTTTGTTTCGGACTTTTGGAGCCTCGCCTCTTTCTTCAGAGAGAACTTGGCTCCTTCGTGGTGCCCCCATTCCTCGGCCGAATCTAATCTGACTGTTCTATTTATAATTCTTGAACCAGATGAATCTGGTCTTTGTATTTCTCTCCGAGCAGTGGCGTCCCCTCCCTAGGATTTGAGCCGTTTCACCTCTGCAAGAATCTCTTTAATTTCGCTGCAATTTGCCAGAAAGCCAGCAGCTGAAACCCTATCAGGTCCTGGATCATATCAGGCCTACTTTAAACTGGCACCCTCCTCCACCCCCAGTCTCCTGGGAGTTGATTTAGGAGCAGGGTTATGCAGAAAAATTCCCAGCAGCACTTTGGCGACACCAGAAAAGTCTGAGAAGTTCAACAGGGAGGGGCCTGCCCTCTGGAGAACAGAAAAGCTCTGAGGCAGGAACAGGGCCCACATCTGCTCCTGCCTCCATCCCTCTCTGGTTTATATATATGTTATATGCTGTTTGCCTTTAAAGTCAGATTAATCAAGGCAGTTTGCCAGGAAACCATCACGCCCACAGCCCTTGTTTTATAGAGACGAAAACAGAGACGGAGGAAAGGAGAAGGGACTAATTTAGCATCAGGTAGCGGTGTGGTTTGAATGAGAAACGGCCTCCATGTGTCTGAGCACTGGGTCCCCTGTTGGTCAGGTTGTTTGGAAGGCTGCAGAACCTTTAGGAGGTGCCATCAGAATGGAGGAAGTGGGTCACTCTTGGGGTTTTGTAGGCAACCCCACTTACCCATTCCCTGCTTTCTGATTGTAGGTGGAGTATGACCACTTGCTTATAGGGAGAAACCCACCACCAGGCCTTCCCTACCACGACAAACAGCATCTTGAACTGTAAGTCAAAATAAGCCCTTTCTTCTTAAGTTTCTTCTGTCTAGGCATTCGGTCACAGCAAGCGGGGAGTGACTAAAGGCTATGCCAAGGTCACACTGTATCCTGGGTCTCCTTCCTCAAACCTCCATGAACTGGTGGAGGTGGTGTTTACTTCGGTCACATATACCCGAAAGCACCCTGATCAAACGGTGTTTTTATGTGACCCTTTCATGGTTTCTTATTTCTTTCTCTGCCTCTTGTTCCTTTTTGTCCCGGGAAGGGCTCCTGTGCCTAAACGTAGCATTTTCTGTCCTCAGGGGATGGTCACAGACTCACTAGAGTATAACTTCTATACTATGGGTTTTTTTGTTTGTTTGTTTGTTTTGAGGGAGGTAGGGTCTCACATAACCCAGGCTGTTCTTGAACTCACCACACAGTCAAGAATAACCTTGAACTTTTGAACCGCCTGCCTCTGACTCCTGTGTGCTGGCATCATGGACAGCATCATGCCCAATGTTTGCAATACTGAGGCTTGAACCCAGGGCTTCAAACATGCTGACAAGCACTGGGCCAACTGAACTATAGCCCCAGCCCTATCTGTAACTCGATTTGGGGAACAGGAACTAGGCTTATGAGTCTTAAGTCCAGAGAAGACATTTCACTGAGTCCATAGTGACAGGAACAGCTATAAATGGGCCTCTTCAAACCACACAGCAAGTTAGCATCCTAGCTGGGACCAGAGTCTGTGATGTGATTCTTTTCGCTCAATCCAGAACAGTTTCCTCTGTTCAAAGCTTAACTGGCTCCATGTGGTCCCCAAATTTGACCTTGGTCTAAGTGCCTATTTAGACAATTCTTTTTAATTAGGCCTCACCAGACCAACCTGATTCCCAACCTTAAACACATCTTTAATAGGAACACGTTCTACTGAACACGTTCAACCACATTTTAACCTCTTTTGCCAGGAACATCCCTGTGAAATTAAATACGAAGGGATCAAAATGTTTCTTTTTGACCCCACTAACATACGCTGGGCTTCTTTTGTAGCTAAACAGGCTAAGATGACCTTTAAGTTTTTAAGGACCAGGAATTAGTGTGTCATGCTGGACATATAAAAGCACATTTAGCCTTCCAGGCTACCATACTCCCATTTGAATATGATCCAGATGCTATATTAAGTTGAGACTACCTCTCTGTAACTCCTACTGGAATCCAGAGAGGAGCAAATGTGTGACCCACAACTTCCTAAGCTGGTGGTGGCCAGTGTTCCTTACTCACTCTTTCCATGAAACATCTTTTGCTTCTGGCTTTAAATTCTTTGGAGTGAAGGGAAGAGCATGGCATTTTTGGAAACTGCAGGATGAGAGGAAATGGAGACTTAGTTGCTTTTCTGGTTGACTCCCTTGTCTTACAGTCAAGGGATCCCTTCCACTAGGCAGGCTTTAGAGCAAGGATGGGGAATAATGTTTTTTGAAGGTTTAGTAAGTGCTCAACATCATATTTCATCCTCCATGGACACTCTTCACTTGCACAGCACCTCTGGTGGACAGGTTTGGTTATCTCCATTTTAATAGCAGCCACTCAGAACAAGTGGTTCAGAAAAGATTTAGTGCATGTATTGGACCCTAAAGCCAGCTACAGTTTGGAATGCTCCTGTATGAGTTTCCTTGTGGGGAATGTGTGAGAACTGTACAGTATGTGTGTATCCCTGTGTGTACAGGGATGGAATAGGTGAGTCTGAACAGTGCATATCTTCCTTGCTATGGAATATGTTTGCATGCTTTCCATAATGGCTACACTTTCTTATGCTTGTTCCCTGAATATGAAGAACACCGGGGCTTCATGGTCTTGACAACATTTGGTGTGATCAAATTTTTCATGATTTAATGAAGTAGAATCGATGCTTCATCATGATCTTACTTTACATTTCCTCTCTAACGAGTTTTCTGTCTTTAAAGGTTTATTATTGACAGTTAAGGTTTTCTTTGTAAATTACTTGTTTGTTATCTTTTGCCAATTCACCCTTAAACCCTTTCAGATCTTCTGTTTCTGGTTGTGTTGTGTGTGTAGTGTATACACATATATTCATAGCTAAATTCAATCTAGATTTTAATCTCTCTATAATTATATAAATTCCAAATACCTTCTTACCATACACACAATGTGGTTTTTCACTTTTTAAATGATACCTTTAAAAACAGTGTCACTGTTAAAGAATTTGCATACTAAAATTTATTCAGAATAAGTGGTACAGGTTGTTATATCTTAGTAAATTTATGTGACTGAACAGTCATTGCCAGAATCCCAAATTAGATTATTCTTAGCAATCTAACTTTCCCCCAGTTAGGTCAGTCTTTACTGACTTCCAAGCCCATTAAACACCATTGTTTTGTTGCTGCTGTTGTTGTTTTTAATTTTGTATTTTCTTGAGATGTTGTATGACTGGAAGCATACAATATGTCATCTTTCATTATGTTTTCTTTCAGTTAATGTAGTGTGCTCCAGATTTGTCCTCAATGCTGCATGTCAGTGGTCCAATCCTTTGACTGCTGAACTCTATGCTACCGTACAACTAGTTGTTCCGTGTCCTGCTTATCCCCATACTAACTGAAGACCATCTGGGTTGTTTCCAGATTTCATTACTATGAAGAATTTTGCTATGAACATTTTTTTGCACACATTTTGGGATTGGTATGTCTTTATGATGTACTTGGAGTCAATACAGAAGAGCAGAGCTGATAGTCTGTATGTTAATTCCAATGCTTAGCTCTTCTGAGACAGGGTTTCACTCTGCAGCCCTGGCTGGTTTGGAACTTACTATGTAGACCAGACTAGCTTCAAACTGTAACAATACTCCTGTTTGCCTTCCAGGTGCTGAGAATGCAGGTTTGTATCACCACGTGTTTTTAACACCAAGAAAGTATTTTAATTCAATGATGGAAATAATGGTACAGGGTATTTACAAGTATGCACCACGCTTCTGGCATCCACAATTTATAAACCGTTCACTGCTTTGCCCTTTTCTGTATTTTGAGTCCATACTTAAGTACAGTCAAGCTTACTATTTGGGTTGAGGAAAGAGGTAGGAAAAGTGTATTCATCATCCGAAAGATATGCTCACAGTATGTGCCATTCTTTATACACAAGGCCTAGACTGCAGAAGCCATGGTCAGGCATTTTAATAAGCTGGGCAGCCATTTATTTGTGCATTACAAAGCATCAGTGCACAGGAGCCATCGTGGGAAAGCACGACCCAGCCCACCCCAGTACAGCACATGCACAACTGGAGACCTTAACAGCAAACCTGTATCACTCAGTGGCTCCGCAGCTGTTTTCATTGCACAAAATCCATGTTTTCATTGCACAAAATCCATGACATTGAAGAGGTTAGAATTGTGTTTAGTAAACAACCCTTCTAAAAATTAAGCATTTTCACCAAAAAAGTCTTCATATAAATTTGGTTCAGATAATAATTTAGCTAGGGGGGTAAATAGTACACAGACACAAACAGGCTCCCACTAGCTTTTGTGGGTTTGGGTTTCAAGGAGGGAAGGCAGAGTCAAGCCTATCTGTTGGCAGCTTTAGGCTGCGTGAGATGGCTGCAAACATTTCTTGTTTGTCACGGCACCACAAACCGGGCTATCGATCTTTTAAATTGTGTACAAAAAAGTTATTACTACATATGCAAAAAAAAAGAAAAGGAAATTGATGTTAAATATCCACTGCATGAAATCTGATGTTTTTCACACCACTAATTTACAAGAAATTTGGACAACAGCAACGAAACTGCATAAGATAAAATTTGCCTATAGGAAAAGATGAAAATACTATGCTTACTTTTTTTCACAAACTGCCAAACTATTTTTTAGTTCTTATATGTTTTACTGAGTATATGTATTTTTATGAATATATGGATTTAAAATAACAGGCACATGATTTGAAAGATAGCTCACCAAGACAGATATATGAGTAACTAATGGGAACATCAAAAGATACCCAATATCATTAGCTAACAAGAAAATTCAAAACCATAGTACAATAATGTTAAATACCCATCAAATGGCTGTAATAAAAAAAGGTGATCAACACCCAGTTCTGGCGAGGGTGTGGGAAAACTAGACCTAAAATGTTTGGTGATGGGTGTATCTGTCCAGGGTTCTAGTTTTAATACAGTTTGCTACAGGGTCCCTCTGTCTGTATGGCTTAGATGCCACCCAGGGATTTCAGCCAAGGTTGTTCAAGGTTTTCTCTCCTTTGTGTGACTATTTTCTTAGACTGAAACACTTCAGTCTTTTGGAGAGAAGAAGAGGAAGGCTTGTAAGACCATGGAAGCAGCTATATTTATCAACTCACAAAACCCCCAAGGTTACATAAGCTGTAAGCAATTGCTGGCTGAGACTGTTTCCAGTGAAGCTGACTGCAAGGTGTGTATTTTACAACCTCTCTTCAGGTAGACTTTTCAGTGACACAGTGGCCTTTGAGTCACCATGCTCTCAAAGTGACAATGTATTAGTTCTTTACATGTTACTGTGAGGAAATACACGCCAAAGGCAACTGTGGTGGTTTGAATGAAAATAGCCTCCACAAGCTCAGCAAGGGCGGCACTACTAGGAGGCGTGGCCTTGTTGGGGTAGGTGTGGCCTTGTTGGAGTAGGTGTGGCCTTGTTGGAGTAGGTGTGGCCTTGTTGGAGGAAGTGTGTCACTGGGGGTGGACTGTGAAGTTTCAAATGCTCAAGCCAGGCCCAGTGTCATTCTCTTTTCCTGCTGCCTGAGAATCATGATGCAGAACTCTCAGATCCTTCTTCCACAGCTGCCTGTGTACCACCATGCTTCTTGCCATGATGATAATGAACTAAACCTCTGAACTGTAAGCCAACCCCAATGATGCGTTTTCCTTTATAAGAGCGGCCATGGTCATGGTGTCTCTTCACAGTGATAGAAAGCCTAAGACAGCAATTCATGGAAGGAAGGGTTTATTTTGGACCACAGTTCAAGAGCGAGAGTCATCATGGTGGTGGGACCTTGAAGCCACTGGTCCCACTTCATCTGCAGTCAAGAATCAGGGAGGGGTGAGTGGCTGGTGCTCAGCTGGCTTCTTTTTATGCAGGCTGAGTCCCCAGACATGGAAAAGTGATGCCCATATTTATGGAGGGAGGGTCTTTAAATCTCAATGAATTTAATCTAGATAATCTAGATAATCTTTTAATCTAGAGACATGCCCAGAGGCTTGACTTTCAGTAATTCTAGATCCTGCCAAATTGATAATCAGTATTAACCACCACAATCTCCAATAAATTCATTGGTTCACTAAGCTAGACTTGGGTGGGATGATCTTTTTTTGGTCTGTTATCAGTGCTGTTTCTGGTGGATAGTGTTTGTTCACGTTTCCCCAGAAAAAGCCATACAACATACTCTGTTTTGACTGATCCCTGTGTGAGTTGTGACACTCACAACTGGGTCTCCAGTCTCTGTTGACTTTCCTTGGTCTCCCTTACACATGCCCCATTTCCAGTCCTCAAGGTACACAGGAAGTCCATTCTGGCTCTTCTATGGCCTTCTTACTGCCAGAATTTCCCTCATTAAATTTACGCCTGACTCATCACAGACCCAGGGTTGCAACTTTCGCTCACAAGCTGTTGTGGCTTCTCTCTGTTTAATTCTTAGAGAATTCGTCACTTTGAGCTGGCCTTTGTTCCTCCCTCCCTCCTCTGTCCACTAGGGTGATTTGAACTGGATCCTTCTGGCTTTGAAGCTTCTGGTTTTGCAACTTGACTAGCACTGGTTGGACAGTAGTTTCCACTAAGATGGGTCAGGGACAAGAGCAGCCTCAGACAAGAAGATTGTATGCTCTATCTTTATTAACCTCAAGTTCCAATAGACTTTTAAGAATAAATACTCCCCAATTTATCATTTGTCTTTCATTGATTTCCAGAGCTCTGAAATGGTGAATTGTGGTGATTTTGTCCTATACTACACTTAGGTTTGAAGAACTGTTTTCTTTATCCCGCCACAGTTAAAATTCCCTTCAGTTATCTTCTTTGACACACAGACGTCTTCATCTTAAACACAGCCAGATTTATCACTGTGCTACGTTGCTATGGTTTGGATGCTTGTATCTCATCCAGATTCATGTTGAGATGCTCTGGTGCAACATTAGTGTGAGGTGTATCCTTTGGGAGGTAGCTGGGTCATGAGGGCTCCATCCACATGAATGGAATTAGATATCTTAATAAAATGGCTTGATGACAGAGTTCACTGTTTTGTGATTCTGTTCCTGCCACGTGGAGATACAGAATCTTCCCTCTGAGAACACAGAATTCAAGGTACCATGCTGAAAGCAGAAGCTCCTAGACCTCCTTCCCAGCTCACGGTCACCTTGGACTTTCTAGTCTCCAACACATTTCAACTTCCAGACTAGTGATGTCAGCCTTATTGATTACTCAAGGAGGGATCCTTAGGATCTATATTAGATAGGAGCTGTGAAAATGAGGCATATGCTGAAGATAGCAAAAAAGAAGAGTAGGTGACATTTAGGGACTCTTCTCATTTTAGAAGCAAGACTTGAACGTAAGTGTCACTGTAAACTAAATGGGGTGAAAGGGGATCTAGAACATTCTAAGGTAGAGTTTAATAATGAACACTTTAAGCTCTATCTAGATATGTGTTCCAGATATTGAAATTGATAATAGAACTTATTAGTAGGCAATTGGGAGTTTTGCTCTAGAAGTGAAGATGTTACAACCAGATGTATCGTTGTGAGGATCATTTGCTCATAAGCTTTGTAGGTTGGTGAGGGGATTATCTGAGATGGGTACACAGGGAAGATGGCAAAGGATGCATCCAGAGGATAGAGGAGGACAGGACAAAGGAGCTGGGCAAGGGAGGAGAAGGAAACAGCTCATTCTGAGCTGAGTCTCACAACAAGGGGGAACAGAGGAAGGGGATCTGGTACCTCCTCATTTAGTTCACATGCTTGAGAAGGGGATTAGTGCATCTCTCAAAGGTGTTAAGAAAAAACACTCTTCAAGACTTGGCTTCCCAAGGTACAGAAAAGTACATCCCATCTCCGCACCAAAGACAACTAGATATATTTGCTTATCATGCTGGTGGTGTTTTTATTTTTATTTTTCCCTATTTGACACACTTAGGAATGTCTAGGAAGAGGAAATGCTGATTGAGAAAATGCTTCCATCAAATCAGTCTGTTGGCAAGTCTGTGGGGCATTTTCCTAATTAATGATTGATGTGAGAGAGCCCAGCCCACTATGGGTGGTAGCAACCCTGAGCAGGTGTACCTGGATTGCATAAGAAAGCAGGCTGAATTCCGCAGTGGTGGTGCACACCTTTAATTCCAGCACTTGGGAGGTAGAGACAGGAGGATCTTTGCGAATTCAAGGCCAGCCTGGTCTACAGAGCAAGTTCCAGGACAGCCCTGCACAGAGAAACCCTGTCTTGAAAAACCAAAAAGAAAAAAAAAAGAAAGAAAGAAAGAAAGAAAGAAGGCAGGCTGAACAAGCAAGCCTTGGGGACCAAATCAAGTAAGCAGCACTCCTCCATGGTTTCTGCATCAGTTGGTTCCTGCCTCTAGGTTCCAGCCCTGAAACATTCTCTGATGTCCTTCCATGAAGGACTGTGAGCTGTAAGGTGAAACAAACCCATTTCTCCACAAGTTGCTTTTGGTCATGGTATTTAGCTCAGCAGAAGAAAAGTGACTAATACATTTACCTACTGACCTCAAGGCTATCTATCTTTTCAGTTACTAGTCTGCTGTGAAAAATCAACTCAGGTGTGACTTTGAACTCAACTAAGAAGAAACGAAACAGGTGTCTACTTCCCACAGGCATTCTGCAGGCCAAGGCCTTTTAGCCCTACCCTGTATAAAGTCAGTGACACAGCCGTTGCTGTATTCTTTGACACCAGCACGTCCTGCTGAACACCAATCAGTGAATAGAGATACACGAAATCCCAGAATTAAGAGAGATGGAGAACATGCCCTCTCAGTTCACAGAAGGGAACACTCAGGATCAGAGAGGTGCAGTGGCCTGATCCAGGTCACCTGGTATAGTAGAGGCAGAGATGGGACTAGATGTTCTGACTTGGAGCTTTCACGACTTCGAGCTTTGCATGGACCAGCACGTCACTCTTGCCTGTGGCCTGTGACAACACTCTCTGTTACTGAACTAATTATATGTTCATTTCCTCCATGGCTGTTTTCTTAGTTATAAACCCTTCCTTTACCCAAATGGTGATTACAGGTGCCTGTAAATACACTAGGATTATATATTCATTTATTTTAAAGTTGCTTTATGCACGTTAAAAAATACCTTTGGCTGTATTGAGGGCTCATAAATGGAGACAGTTAAACTGACATGCCATTAGTCTGCAAGCAAAGGTGTCATGGGAGGCAGCATCAATTAATTTGTTGATAGGATTTGCTGGAAGAGTCTTGCAGTCTGGGCATCCAATGCCTGTGATGGTCTTCTCTGAAGCACAATTTGTACTCGTAAAGGCAATTGTACTAACATTGGTGCAGTTCATTGTATTTACTAAACTGGATGCTCTTATCACATTTTCTTTTATTCCACCACCTTAACCGAGTGCTACTGTGTGCCCGGCTGTAGGACCTATTACAGTGGGCAAGACACATCCTCTCTTGCCTTCTGTAGCACATACATTTGCTTCAGACAATAAACATGCAAATTAATATATGATATGCCTTTCAGACAGTGACAAAAGCAATAGGGTAGGAAATGGCCAGGGGAGGGATGCCTCTCTGTTTTTCCAGTGAGGCCAGGAATAGCCCCTATGGCAGGTCAAGTTCACGGTGCATCTGACTCAGATTATGATTAGCAGGGTGAGGTTCTTCGCAGAGCTCTTTCAGGATTAGGGTGTTTGGTGAGTATAGGAGGAAGATTTCAGATGGTAGAGAAAGATGCTGGGTCAATATGTAGTCACAGAAAAGTTAAAAGAAGTTGGAGAGCCTATAGAAAATCTTGGATGGAGCTGGAGGCCAAGGCTAACTAGACTCTTTCATTGTCAGTATTACATTAATCTGTGGGCTGCGCTCTCTCTCTCTCTCTCTCTCTCTCTCTCTCTCTCTCTCTCTCTCTCTCTCTCTCTCTCTCTCTCTGTGTGTGTGTGTGTGTGTGTGTGTGTGTGTGTGTGTGTGTGTGTGTGATCTTGAACTGAGGGAAATACGATGGTGGCCCAGCTATGAGGGAAGAAGACTTCATTACTGAAAAGGAGACCTCCCAAGTGTCTTACCACCTCTCTGAGCAGGATATGAGATGAGATACAAAACTGGATAAAATGATCTCATCTAGTCTTGGGGTCAAGATTTTCATTGCCAGCTGATATTCCTGTTTATCTCCCAGGAGCTCAAAGAGATCAAGTGGCCTTCTCCAAGTGACCTGGCTACCAGAATGCAGCCTTGGTGTCTTCTCTCTAATGTGACCTGGACCTGGATATATCTTGTTCCACTGATGCCTGTGAGTGTGAAAATGTTAAGGGCATGCACTTCTATAAACATTTTCACAAATTTTCTGCTAGCATAGTATAGAGTGATGGTCTTTGCATTTTAATGTACAGTTTAGGGGCAAAAAACCTCATCAAGCCATGTTTACATCTTTGCTCAGCTAAGCGGTTGAATATACTATTGCAGAGTAGAGCTTTAGAACTTAGGACGGTTTTTAGAGAATATGTTGACAGCATAATTTTTAAAAAGTGGAATAAATTTTGTTAAGTATTTATTGCTTAACATGACTGCAGCCATGACAAACATCTGCACATGTTTTCAGCCTTCCCCTAACCTTTCCTTGATTTCAGGTATGAGTGGGGAGTGCCCGCATGTCACGAGTCTTACAGGCAATTGCTCATCGTTTGTTTCATGACTGACTTTCATTCATCCCTCGACCCATCTAGTCCATCATCTGTGTAGGGCAGGCTTCAGCCAGACAATAGTGTCTTATATTTCACCTTCCTTCATAGTTTTAAAAGGGTCTGTGTGGGATGACTTCATTCTGTCCTTGCAGATACTGGGAAATGTGGATCTGGGTTCCCTTTTCACAGATAAAGGAGTCGAAGCCCTGAGAAGTAAATAGCCCAGCTGTAGCCACTGAACTTGAGTCTTGCAGTGCAAGATGGAACCATCTATCCATGGCCTCTCCATTCTCAGAGACTGAGGTAGGCTTCTTGAGGTAGGGGGTCAAGAGATATGAGAATAAAGACAATACAGGCGTGAGGAAGCGAGAGCCAGTGGATGCTCTCAACTCTTGAGACAAATCATTTAGCATCCCTGGACCCTGGTTTCCTTGTTGAAGTAACAGAACAGAAGTTCGTTGCCTTCTAGAACTTTCCTCTGATTTAAGGAATCATCAAAGACAAAGACAAATCTCAATAAATGCAAGGAGCTAGCGACAGTGGCAGTGGATCATCATGTTCTCCCAGGCCTGTGACCGTCACAAGGACACTATGATGTCCCCTTCCTTTGCATCCTCACTAGTGGCTGGAACACCTTCATTTTGAATACCTTACTGCTCAGGTAGCTGTTGAGCTGCTTGCTACCAACATCACTGTTTTACACATAATGGTGAACAGACTGAAGAGATCAAATTAAATCCATTTCCACTTTAGGGTGGGAAATCTGTTTGGAACAATCAGGAGGGTTTGGAGCATCAAGCATGGCTTTTCAATTGCCATCAAATGGTAAATTGCTTAATGTCAATTGGCATTAAGTGGACCGATTTGTACCCAATTAATCCACCAGGGTTGAGAAGGAAGAAAACAATTTCATTTAGCTAGATTATTCTTCACTGACTTCTTCCTGTGTGGAGCTCCCAGCAGTTTGCAGACATTTTCTTGTGCCTATTCTTTGCCTGCACAGTGAACTGTCCCCCCACCCCGCCCCATCCCACCCCACCCCACCCTACCCCCCTTGTTGGGAAAGACAGGCTGGTAGCTACTTATTTTAGCTTTTCCATGCTTCAGAGCCTCGCTCAGGAAATGGCTGTCGCAGATCCCTGATGAAACACATTGCTAGTGTTAAAGAGTTAATGCAGCTTTCAGAAACATCTCATTTCTAACCAGAGCTTGACTTTAGTCCCAGACAAAGCTGGCATGTTTGCTGAATTGATGTGCTTACACACACACACACACACACACACACACACACACACACACACACACACACACTACATAGAGGTATTGGGCGACAAGTCACAGGGTAGATATCTCAGAGACTCTGCATGATAATGACAAACATACACAGAGGAAATGCAGGTCCCCAGTTCCAGCCAGCTGACAGGTGGCACACAGAAACCAAGCTAAACCTGCCTGGGGGAGATCGCCCAAATGAAAGGAGGCCTCCTGAGTCTACACTGGGCCATGGAAGCTAGAGGAGGTAAGACAGCAACCTTGTTTTCCCCTAGACTTTATGCTCCCATTGCTTGGTAATTTACATTTATATAGACTCAAGCTCTAGGTTCTAAATGGCTTTGCTGGGATACATGGATGGAGGACCACTGTGTATAAGCAGCAGGCTCTGTGCGCATAAACAAAAGCTGGCCATCTATATTTAAGTGACAGCATGTGGCTCAGTTTTAGCTTGGTCACTTGAAGCCATACTATACTTGAATGAAATTTCCCTGAGGCTTTTCAGGGCAGCGCCTTTCATCTGACTGCATTTTCATGCAAGATGGTTCTTCATTGTCCTTCCTCTGGTGACTTATGCACCATCAGACACAGATGGAATGTGACTCACAAAGACACAGGGGATGGCTCTCTTTCTATCTAAATCTAAGATGTGCCTTCCACCTCTCCCCAGGTGAGAAGAAGAAGGCACACAGGAATGTCTGTGTAAACTGTCAAGTACTAAGAGGGTTCTGGAATCTCTTACCTCTGTGGATAGAGTCGGCTTTACTCCACAGGATGGAGGAGCAAAAAGCCTGGGCTGAGCGTAGATGATATAAGTTAGGGGTGGGGAATCTTAGACACGTCAGTGAACGTCAGTTTCAAATCTAAGTTGGAGGCACCCTAATTCTGCTTGCTCAAGCCAGTGGTTAAGGAGGGAGGCACATCTGTCTGGGTGTCTGTCATCCATGACTGACTGCCAGGGTCTTTCAACATTTCTGGTTGTCTAGTCTGAGGTCCTTGCCTCTCCCTCAGTAGAAAACAATGCCCTGAAAAGCATCGGAGGGGCTGCACTTCAGCCCTAAATATGCAAGTAGCTGGAGGACCTTCAATAGGGTTGTGGGGAGGACTAGAAATGGCGTTATATAAACAAGAGCCTTGGTACCTCCAAGAGGCCGTGTCCATGTACATAAATACCCAGGCAGAAGCATGGTGTTTGGTTCTCTTTGGAGCACAGCTCTTAGAATGGCCTTGAGCTTGCTGCTCCTGAGGACTGGCTACTGAATCTAAGATGTTCTCTCTATGAACACTGAAGGACCCTCCGAAATGAAATAGAAACTGCTGCTGCTCATAATCTCCCTTGAACCTTCTGTACAGATTCTGGGCTGTTGTGCCCCACAGCTCCTCCATCACGCCCTATTGGAATTTTAGCTGGGAGAAGTCTTTGTTAACGGATAGTTGGTTTTCTGTTATAAAAGGGTTAACATCGTGCCCGATCTGTCCCCAGTAGTACTGACAGCATCCTCCTTTCGATGGTAGTAAACAAACAAACAACAAACTCCATTTTGACAGTTTTGCTAAATGTCCCTGTGGGGAAGAAGGTAGAGGATGCCTGGTTGAAAACCATTCCCTTAAACGGTGAGCTCTGGGGGAACAGATTCGATTTTCTTTAAAGTTGTAACATTGTGCCAATTGACCTTCCTATCCGGCTCTCCTAGGCACACAATGAGAAGCATCCGGGTGAAGCTCAATCAAATAGCCAAGTTTCCCTCCAGTCTGAGAGGCGCCTCCTTCTCACCATCGTTTCCCAGTTATAGAGACCCAGTGGCAAAGCAGACAAAGTGTGTCATCGCTGGGAAGCAGGCTCAGCCTCAAGGGGGAAATAAGTGTTGACAAAGAATATATCATGACAGTGTCATCTGATGCCAATGTCATCAGAGGGCCAAATGAAGCTCTTCCAGATGGCCATAGAACCCCAAAATTACACGATGGAGAGAGCAGAGCCCAGAGATTATGAGATGGAAGGAGAGAGGCATGCATTTACATCTCTCCATGTCTGTGTGTCTATCTCTTTCTAGGTCCTTTTCCTTTATCTCCATCCTTAGCTGGAGACTTTTTCACAACATAATTCTCCCTTAACTTTGGGGTTCTTGACATTCTCGTATCTCAGGCTTCCTGTAGATTCTCTTTGTGCATATGAGTTTATGTGTGTGTATGTGTGTTACATGTTGTTATGCACATGTGTGTCTGCATGTTCATATACAACTGTGTGTAGGTGTATGTGTGTGTGTGTGTGTGTGTGTGTGTGGTGTGTGTGTGTGTGTGTGTGTGTGTGTGTGTGTATGTATGTATGTGTGGAGGCTAGAGTATAATTGCAGGTGTTCTTTGGGAGACATCCATTTTGTCTTTTGAGACAGGGTCTCTCACTGAGACCTGGGTTTGCCATGAGGGTAGGCTGGTTGGCCAGGAATTCCCAGGGATCCTTCTGTCGCCACCTTCCCAATGCTAAGATTACAAGCATGTATCAACCCTGCTTTGTATATGTGCACTAGGTATTGAACACAAGTCTTGTACAAAAAGCGCTTTGCCCATCAAGTTGTCTCCTAGCCCCTCTTGTAAGTTTCCTAATATCTAGGAGTCATCATTGTGTTAGATTTTTTTTGTGCATATGAGTTTATGTGTGTGTATGTGTGTACATGTTGTTATGCACATGTATGTCTGCATGTTCATATACACCTGTGTGTAGGTGTGTGTGTGTGTGTGTGTGTGTGTACACGTACGTATGTACGTGTGGAGGCTAGAGTATAATTGCAGGTGTTCTTTGGGAGACATCCATTTTATCTTTTGAGACAGGGTCTCTCACTGAGAGTCCATTGTGCCGGCAGACCCAGCAAGAGGACAGAAAAGTGCTGGAGGTATTTGGTCATGCTGATAGGTGATGAGACACTGACCTGGGCCCTTCCAGGGAAGCCATATCTTCTGGGATGCTAGTGGGTAGATGACATAGCACTTTCTGTAGGCGATAGACCAGGGGCCCATCAGCTCAGTATGGACAGCTGGTCTTTGGAGTTCCTCCCCACTCTGTGAGTAAAGCTGTGTTCCCATAAGGCGGGAGTTCTTCTCTTCTGCAGATTCTTCAACTAAAGCAGAAAACTACCCTTGCTAGCTCTTCCAGCTCGTGCTGCACTCCTTCTCAGTGATTGCCTTGAAAGGGTCATTAATATTAGTTGTTCCAATTCCCTCTGTCTCATTTTCCTTGAATCCACCACAGTCTGAATCTTATCCCCTTCAGTTGGCAGAAAATTGCTCTTGTCAAGGTTACGATGACCCGCCAGTTGTTAAAGGCATGGTCAATTTGCATGCCCATCTCAACCTGTCACCATTTAGCTCAGGTATCATCTGTCTTCTTTAAAATACTCTATACCTTTGGCTCTCAGAACATTCTAGGTTCAAGGTTCACCCTCCTCCATCCCAAGGCCACTCCTTCTCTGTGACCGTCACTAGCCCTGCCTCATCTTCTCCCATCACTACAGCGCTCTAGTCCCCAAAAGTCACCTTAGCTCTCCTCTCCTCACTGTTCCTTCCCTCTCTTCTCACTTAAGAACAGTCTCTTGGCTTTCAGTATTTCTCTATATGTCTTTCCTAAACTCCAGTTTTCTAGATCTGAATGCCTTTTCAACAAATCTGTTTGTGTTTGCAGGACTAAAAGGATCCAAACTTAATGTTTCCTGACCTCCCTCTCCCCAGACTTATTCTCCCTGAATTCTATTCCATCTCAGCAAATAGCCTCTTGTGTCTTTGTTGACTAAGATGAGCACCTTGGAGTCTGTTCTCTCAGACTCTACATCCAATCCTTCAGCGAAGTCCACGGATATCCCATAGTCCATTCACTTCTTATCTGCTTCACCACTTACTACCAGGGTTCCTAGCACCAGCATTATAGATTGCCCAGGAGTCTCTTAAGTGACTTCCATGCTGCCTGCTTGGCCACAACTCCATCCACCTCCTAGTATGTTTCCAACATGGCAGCCAGTGTGATGCTCTTCACACAGTAGGCCAGATCAAAACACAGTTCCGCCTCCCATCTTCCAGTAACTGCAGTCTACAGGTCCTACATCTGGGACACTGCTGTCACTGTGACCTCCTATTTTGTCACTGGTTCCCTGCAGCTCTACTCCTTTCCTGCTGTATCATCTTGCTTGCCATTCTCTCCCTCAAACCTGATCTTCTTTGGTTGGAAGGGCTTCTTTTCTGGATACCTATTTAACTCCTTCAAGACCAGCAGTCACCTCCACCAGACAATAACTCCCTGTCCACCTGTCTCAAGTGCTAATCTCCTCACCATGTTTTCAGTCATTACCTTGATACACACACACACACACACACACACACACACACACACACACACACACACACACACACGTATATTTTATAATACTGGAACTCTATTTCCCAGCTTTATCTTTTTACTATTTCCTCCCCTACAGCATAATCCCCATGACTTTAGGAAACTGGTCTTTCTCCCTTTCCATCTCTAAATCTTCAACAGTTCTATGTAGAGTTGATGCTCAATAACCCAGCTGTAACAATTCAACAGAGTGAGCTCTGTCTACAAATTTCTGAAACGTGGAATATTTAGGACATTGGCCCTTCCTCCTTGAAGTAAATGATCTGAACTTTAAAATGGGGCTGTGTGTGCTGTTGTTTTTCTTTATAGTGTAAAATCTGATTGGTTCTCAGTTAAAAATGGAAAGGTCTGGTGCTGGAGGTGACTCAGCGTGCTGAGTACTTTCTGCACAAGCATGAGGACCCAAGTTTGGGTTTCCAGAACCCACAGAGAAGCTGGGTATTGCCATAAGTGTCTGGAATTCCAGAGCTGGGGTATGGAGAAGGGTGCCTGGGGCTTGCTGGCCAGCCAGCATGGCTGAAATGGCAAGCTTTGGGTTCAGTGAAAAGACCCTGCCTCAAAAACAAAACAAAACAAAACAACAACAGAACATGGAGGGCAATAGAAGAAGATACCCTGAGATAAATCTCTGTCTTCCATACATGCACAGACATATGTACATGTACACATGCACATGCACACATACACACACACAGAAAGAGATGGGGGGGTTGGTTAATATTTCTAACTACAGCATTCTACTAATATGTTAGTGTACCGAGGTGTCTTTTTATTATATTCAATTTGATTCAGTAAATGTTGATTGCTCACCACCACATGCCAAGTTATGTGCTGGGAGAGAGAAATGTTAATTGCTGGGAGAAGACAGACCACAGTCTAGGCTTTCAAGACATTAGTAAGTGGGGAAATGTTTATATTCCTATCAAGAAAGTTAGGCCAAGTGAGAATATTATAATATAATATATATATTAATATATATCCTCATACCCTGAGATTATCCTCAGGGATACTATGTGTCAACTTCCCTCTAAAGGACTGTTCCAGGACCAGATCTGTCCATGTGGTTCGTGGAACATAGCAGTAATGCCCAGCAGGGCTGGGGGTAAAAAGCACCAGGAATGCTGAAATGGGAGGAATCATCTCTTTGTAGTGGGGGAATACCAGGTCATGAAAGAGATATCAGCTGAGCTTGGCAGGTGAGCATTGAGAGCCATGAGAACAGGGGAGCTTCCAGACTAGAGGAAAGTGCATAAGCACAGGTGGAGGGAAATTCTGAGGCCCTTTCCAGAAATGGACCACATCCAAGTTCTGGGCAGGCAGGGCGCAGAAGAAGCAGGGCAGGTTAGAAACAGAGATGGCGAGGAAAGCTGAACCAGGTCGGTGATACTGTCATTGTCATTGTTTGCTTTTCAACGGGTCGACAACAGGAACCTTTCGTTTTTGCAACAAATGACAGAATAATCCAAGCCTTCCTTGCTGGGCAAAGCCTGTGTAGATGGACTGGACATCATCAAAAATAATTTATCTATAGAAATATAGCAGGGTTTTTTTTTTGCTATATTCCGATGTTTTCTTCAATCTTTGAAAACTGATAACCCAGGCACCATCTATAAGACTTTCTATTAGTCACCTTCCCGTACGACTTATTGGTCCTTCCTGATGGAGAGCAAGCAGAGCTTACTGTAAAAGCCTTTTCACGATCATGATGGAACTTCCTCCATTCTTTCACTCTTCCCATAAAGCCCATCTGCTGACCTCCAGCATTTGATAAAAGCCTTCTCTCATTAGCTCTAGCAGCTGGAGCTTCCTCTGAGCAGACTCCAGTAAGAACGGCGACAAACCGAATAGCAACAGCCCATCTTTCCAAACAGCATGGGCACTACATCCTCAAAGGAAGCCAGCATTCTTGTCCTGGCACGTAGCATATGCACCTGGAAAATAAGGCAGACTCCATGAATTCAGGGACTGGTGTTTTGAATATCCTCCATGACATTTCCCTGTCTGAATGAAAAAAGGAAGGAAGGAAGGAAGGAAAAAAGGAAGGAAGGAAAAACAGAAGGACATGACTGCTCCTAGATATGATGGAAAGAAAGTTTATTGTAACTAAAAGGGGGAGTATAGCCAGGATCAGAGACCTCTGGGAGAGTCCAGAGTGGACGTGGCCCTGAGCCGCGTGAGGAGATGGGGGAGAGGAAGAGAGAGAGAAGAAAGGGGAACCAGGGGCAGCGGCCAAGAGGACAAAAGGTAACCAAGAGGCGGGTAACCAAAATGGATGGATTATATAGGGAAGAGCCTCTGGGGGAAGGGCAGCCCAGTCCCTGGGCTGGAGAGTTCAGGGTAGAGGGAGGGATATGTCAAGCAATACCCTGTAACAGGTAGGCACTGAGGCATGCTGGGAGACCCTGGCAGCCGGGGCTGCTTTGATATGTTAAATAGACACCTCAGCCATTGGTCCCTGGGTTTGAGACTTAACAGTCACTGTCCATATTAACAGGCACTGTCCACAGTCTTTTTAATATGGTTTTATCACAATGTGGGACCCCAAAACCAAGGTCACTGAAGGAGTCACAGAATCAAAGGATTTGAGAGCTAGGAGATACTAGGGACTATTTACTTCAGTTGTCCTGGTTTGTAAATGAAGGAAGGGCCTGAGGTCAGAAGAGGTGGCAGCTCCACACAAGTCATTAAGGGCAGAGCTTGAACTTGGACATGGGACTGCAATTGTTTGTACAGGGGAAGGCAACCCCGTCTCTAAGTGCCCCTGCTTGAACATTTTCTTACTGGCTAGGCTTTGAGTCTCCTGTTCTCTCAGGGCCTCTTTTGTTCTACTTGATGATGAAGCTTTATTGTTGTGGTAGGCCTCTTCACCAGGGCGGAGCTTCAATGTTAGCCTG